AAAAATAGGCAAAGGACATGAATAGGCAACTGACAGAAGAGGAAATCCAGTCAACTAGGACGTATATAGACAGATGCTCAAACTCATTAACTATCAAATAAATACAGTTCAAAAAAATTAACTGTCATTTATTATACTAGCAAAAAAAAAAAATAGAAAGCTGAATAATGAGAAGAGTTGGTAGGAACAAAGACATTCACAGTTAGGGCTGGTAGGACTGTGAACCAACCACTCTGGAAACCAATATGAGAACACTTAAACTAAGTTTATATATGCCCTCTGACCAGCAGTTCTCCTGGGGAGTACATCACAGAAAAAGTCTTCCAAAGGCGGATGCACAAAGATGTTCATTGTGGTGCTGTGTGTAGTGAGGAGGAGCTGGATGCATGAGAAGACAGAGCACATCTCTGCAAAATACAAATACACTGTCACACGCCATGGAGTCCACAGCAGTCAGAGCCATGGCAGATGTATGTACAGTGATAAGGATGACTCCTAACTTAACACAGAGGAAACAAGCAGAACAACACAGGCAACCATATTTATCATTTAAAAACAGATAGATAAAAGATACACAATTCCTAAAAACACATTTTAAAAGTACACATTAGAATGGTGGCCTATTGCAGAAGAAAAGCATATGAGTAAAGAATGAAAAGAGAACACATAAGGAAATGAAATGAAAAAGAATGAATAAACAAATAAATCAAGAAACGTGGGAGGATATGTGCCATAACAGGGGGACTAATTAACACAACCCTCCACACCTGAGATCCAAAGAGAAAATTTGAGAAAAGAGGAGAAAAAGGCTCTGTAAAGAAATGTTCATGTATTTGTCTGCGGCCAACCTCTCCTTGGCAACTGGGCCATTTGGAAAATACCAGCAGCTGAGAGACATTATTTATGGTCTTGTCTTTTATCCTACTGGCACTGTATGCCCTGAGAGAAACTCATTTTGGTCTGCAGAGTGGTTGGTCTGTAGTCCCAGTAGCCCTATGTGCGAATTTCTCTATTCCTGAAGTTTTCCTGAAAGCAATACATTCAAAAGTATTCTCAGAAGAATTCCTTTTGCCCTATGCCCCTTCAAAAATATTCTGGCTCTGTGATAAAATGCTTGTATCCAAGTTTCCACCAAAACAGTTTTTAGAAAGGAGTATGCTAGACATCTGGAATTTGGATGCTAGATTTCTGGGATTAGGTGAAAAGAACAATGCCCTGTTCTTAAATCCATATAAGATTAACTTTTTAACCTTTAGAAGAGTATAGATTGTTGCATAAACAAAAAGAGGGGTGCAGAACAAACAAGACCCAGGGTAAATGAGCCCCATGGGTGGGGGTGGGATCAAACTGCAAATCACTACAAGTACAACTTCATGGGGAAATGGAACAAGGAATTGGATGACGGGGGGCGGGGGTGGTCCTAATGACAAAAAAAAAAAAAAAAAAGCAGTGAGGTAGCATCAATCAGATCGTCATTCTAGTTTTGCTAGCTTGACAATCAGTTGATAATAACACCCAAGAAAAATAACTCCTATCTAAACTACTCCTGAAAAAGTAACCAGTTTTCAACCCCATCTTTTTTCTCTCTTGCTTACTAGATAAAAGAGTAAGAAATTGAAGAATCATTAAACATCCAAGGCAAACAACCCTCCTCACTGTAAGTAACAAGATGCCAAAAGCAAAACATTCCAAGTATCTGCATATTCCAAAACAGAGCTCTATATGGTTCTTTTCTTAATGGAGGTAGACTATCCATGTGTTTGACTTGCAGCCTTTGGGGTCAGACAGAATGAAGACTAAATCGTATTTCCTGAGCTTACCAGCTTCAATTTCTTTACCTACAAAATAGGTCAAAAGTAGCCACCTCACAGTGCATTACAAGCATTAAATGAGCTGATGTGTGTGATAGATGTCTAGTTCCTGACACACAGTAAGTGGTCACCTAGTGCTGTTAGTATCTATTACTGTAAAATATACAGTCAGAATAGTTGATGCAAACCACAAGGAACTATTTAAAGTAGAAGGTCGATGTCTCCCAATAGTCCATTTCCCATCCTGAATGAAGAGTTTGATGATAAATGTCCCTCTAGACTTTACCAAATATCTAAATTGGTCAAATAATTTATTTTACTTAATACATTGTTCTATAGGCTAATTTTAAAAAATATTTCAATGACAACATATTGTGAGTACCATTTCTATAATACATCTAGATCATCCTCATTCTTTTTTTTCTTTTTCTTTTTCTTTTTTGGAGAGGTTTTTGTTATAAGGCACGTGCACTCACCAGAGAGACAGAGAGAGACAGGAAGACAGAAAGCGAGAAATCACCCCCCAGGGGGGATGGCCACGCTGCAATCCCTTCTCCATTCTCCTCTCGGGATCTTGGGCATGCATGCACACGCACCTGGCGTGAGTTTAAGCCACCGGGTCCAGGACTCAAACCAAGGCTGACTACATGGGAGTCCAACAACATAGCCATTACGCTAACTGCTGGTCATCCCATCCTCATTCTTTTTAAAGACTGTATATTACTCTATGATTTATTTGATCAGTTCCCTATTTGATATCTGTCTCCAATTTTTTGCTATTTATCTCCTGTATTCCAATAAGCTTATTTGTTGCACAAACAACTTTACATTCTAGTCTAATTATTCCTCTAAGACAAACTGTTACGTCAAAAGACAGTCATTATTTTCTTTTTTTGGAGAGGTTTTTGCTATACAGTGCATACACTTGCCAGAAAGGAAGAGAGAGACAGAGAGAAAGCGAGAAATCACCCCCTGGGGGGATGGCCACGCTGTAATCCTTTCTCCTCCATTCTCCTCTCAGGATCTTGGGCACACACACGCACGTGTCTGGCGTGAGTTTAAGCTACCAGGTCCAGGACATGAACTGCGGTTGACTACATGGGAGTTCAGCAACATAGCCATTATGGCATCTGCTGGTCCCGGGTTTTTGTTTTTTTTTTAAGAGAGGTTTTTTTGCTACAGGATACATGTATTCACCAGAGAGACAGAGAGATAAAGTGAGAAATCACCCTCTAGGCAGATGGCTGCACTGCAAACCATTCTCTTCTCAGGATTTTGGGCATGCACGCACACGTCAGCATGAGTTTCAAGCCCCTGGGTCTAGAACTTGGAAGTGCAGTTGGCCATGAGGGAGTCCAGTGCCTTAACTACCTGCTGGCCTCAATAGTCACTTTTTAAAGGGCTCCACATTACTACCAAAATGACTTATAGAAATGGCAGAACCAGTTAGCATGCCCATCAATAGAAAGAGTAATGATGGTCTTTCAAATCTAATTGCCCTTAGCTCAAGCAGGGAGAAACAGGTTCATAAGGTCACAAGTTAAGGTAACTTCCAGCCATTGGTCTCTAGTCATGTGCATCTCATACCCCACAGCCTTGAGTGTTTAGTATAGAAGCAGTATGTCCCAGGTTGAGGCCTGTGTGGGTTTACATTGGTTTTGCCTGCTCTCTTCTTATGGTGGCATTCCTAACTTCCCTGCGAGAAACTACCCTGCTTCCAATTTATGCAGTGTTCTTAAAACCATCAATCAAGTGCATGTGTTATTTTCCACTGGGTGGCCCCAATCTAGAACCAACTTGATGTTACATTTTTCTTGAGAATCTGAATCTTAAGAGGAATAAGACAAGGATTATAAATGGTTTAGACCTTCCTCATTCTGCCAATAGTATCCAGAAGATTCTTTCTCACTGGTTCCTGGGTCTCTAGAGCTGGTCTGTTTTCAAGCCTGGTTCTTCCACTTTCATACCTTACTGTGAGTTCCCCTATTGCCTTCCCTCTTGACCTCTTTATCATTAAGCTGTCTTTCCTTTTGCTGAAGTTAGCCAGAATTGACCTCAGATGCTCTAAAACAATACTACTTGATCCCAAGTGGGAAAAAGTATGTCTTTATTTCCTTGAATATTTACTTTAAAATTTTTCCCTTGTTCAGTTCTTAAAGGGAAAAAGATTCCTCTCATAAAGGGCTCTCAATTTATCAACAGCAGCCATTATAAATTACTTAATATTTTGTATAAAACTCCTGGTAAGATCTGTATTTCAGAGAGAATTAGAGAAGAAAAAAATCCTTGTTCTATTATGGCTTTCACAAAAAAAAAAGCTTATCCTTTCATATACACATAGATGTACTATTCTACTGATTTCTCCTGAATTCATAGAAGGCTACCTTCGAATCTGTTTCCCAAATGGATTTTATAAAGCAAATCTTAGGCAAGGGGGCAGGATTTCCTTAATATTCTTGTAGCAACCTGGAAGGATTTTTTTTTCCTCCTATGCACCAAGGAGATAATCAGCCCGAACACTCTACCAGCAGTTTTATTTAATCCCGTTGTCTTTGCAAGGTTACAGGTGCCCTTGGAAATCATGATTAACCAGAGAGCTCAGAGCCAGCAGCAGGGGAAACATGCTTTATATGGTTGAGAGGCTTCCCAGGGGCACTTTCATCAAAGAGGAGTATTATCGCAGCATCTCCCCTTTTTCCTCTCCAAAGAGGCTACCAAGAAAAGTGAGTTATTAAGCCATCGCCAATGATAGCCATTGCCTCTTCAGTCCACTGAGTGAGACTATGCAGGAAGCAAGGGTAACTTTGGCTTTCCCACAGAATAAAGCTCTTGGGGAGTTAGGTATTATTGGATTAAGTGACTTTTAAGTGGTGATTGGAGCTATAGTCTTAAGAAGACCTGGGATTAAGTGAGATAATGTACATAAGAACGTTTTGTAAAGTGTGAAGGGTTATTTAAACACAAGGTGTCATTACAGACTTGTCAGTCAGGCTCACGGAACACATCCCTCTGTCCCTGGGGAGTGACTGACATAGACAGTTAGGGCAGAAGAAACACATCCTGCACTCAAGAAAGGAGGCCAACCCAACAATCCCCACAGTACCTCCTGGTGGCTCATCCCAGAATAACAATTTTTCCAAGCCCACTTCCAACCCCAGCTGTAGAAAATTTCCCAAACATCATACTTACACCCTTCGCTCTGACTGTCTTTGTTCGAGTTGTAGACCTGGAAAATAGAAATAAAAATTTACTTATTTACCACCCTGTAGGCTCACTGTAGAAAATTATTACCCTCTCACTTTTCCTAGTTTGTGCCATAGGCAGAAGATCATTTCTGGTCCCCCAACATAAACCCCTTCGATAATTATTTCCTAGTATTTACTTTAGCTGATCATAAATGTACAAGCATTGGAATCGGCTGTGGAACTTTACTGTTAAAAAATCCATCTTTTTAAAAAAGCAAATAAACTTGTGTGTTTATTTAAATTAGTTACAACTCATTAAGCATTAGCTGCACACCAGGCAATGTGCTAAATAACTCACACGAATTATCTCAAATAATCTACACAGCAATTCCACCCAGTAGAAGCTGTTATTATCACTGTTTTTCAGATAGAGAATCTGAGGCTGAGAGAGGTTAACTAAGGTCTCACAGCTAGTTCATAGCAAAGTCAGGACAAAGATAGATCACAAACTGCTCAGTGTTAATATTTAGGATAGGAGCAAATGCTTTTTACTCTGCATATTTTTGTAAGCTTGCTAAGGAGAACTTGTTACATTTACAAAAAAAATACATCAAATGAACATAGAAATCATAGAAAGGGTAAATGTCCCAACACAAAACAGATGATGACATATGTAAGGGGCAGAGAGCATTTTCTATAAAGAGCCAGGAAGTAAATATTGTAGGCTATGCTGGCCAAGAGACAAAATTGATATGATGCAGTTACTTGTGTAATGAGACATAAAGCAAATTTTCATTGTATTTTTAGACAAAATTCAAAATAATAATAGAGTATATTTTTTGGAAATTCAAGTCCACTAACTGGAAGAATTTATTTATTTTTTTTAAGGAAGGATGATACTCAGCTTAATTGGGGTCCAAAGTCAGTATTTTCTATCATCAAATCAAGCAAATGTTCATCGGTGTTGCCTTGCCTGGCTCATGGGCTATATACGAAATGAGGTGGTGGGCTGGATTTGGTCTATGGGCCATTGTTTGCACACTCCTGATACTATGTCATTATTCCATATATATATATATACATATATATATATATATGTTCATATATAACGTGCATATATATATGTGTGTGTGTGTGTGTAAAAATCACAATACAGTCACATGCACACACACCAAGTGATTGTGATAGCCACTCTCTCAGTTGAGAACCACTTATTTAACCCTAAAGGAGTCACACCATGAATTCCTGAAGCAAGTCATTAAACCCAGAAAAGGAAGTTCTGGTTAGGAAATATGGGTAGGAATAGCTGGTCAAGAGCTGAGTCCATCTTGGTCTCTCAGTTTGTCATTGAGGAAGTCTCTTACACCCTCTGAGTCTTTACTGCCTCATCTGTAAACTGAAGGCTTGTCCAAGAAGGTCTTTGAATGATCAAACTCTAAATGTAACAAATCACCCCATTTATTCATATCATTTTTTTCTTTAGAGATTTTTGCTATAGGGCACGTGTGCTTGCCAGAGAAAGAGAGAGAGCCAGAAAGTGAGAAATCATCCCCTGGGGAGATGGCCATGCCACAATCCCTTCTCCTCCATTCTCCTCTTGGGATTTTGAGCATGTACGCACATGCACCCGGCATGAGTTTTAAGCTGCAGGGTCCAAGACTTAAATCACGATAAACTATGTAGGAATCCAGCAGTGTAACCATTACACCATCTGCTGGTCCCCATATTATTTTCTAAAGACTGAAACTGCACAGACATGGAGGGTCAGAAATGGGAGTATTAAAAGAAAGGGTTTCTGTACTACTGGGTTGTCAGAAAAGTCATGATGTATTTTTTCTGTGTAAAAATGTACCATAACTTTTCCAACAGACTAACAGTCTGGTGAATGATAAGGCATCAGTGTACACACTTAGATGGAAGATGTAGAGATTGGGAGTCAAAAGAGTTTGATTCTGACCTGGGTCTCACCATTGGTCATTTCATCTTGCTGTGCTTTAATTTCTTCATATACAAAATGGGGGTGATAACAGTTAAAGCTACTCCACCTACCTCTCCCAGGGCTGCTGTGAGCACAGATGAGACTGGGAGAGGGGGCACCACAAATGCATGTGCTCTGGCCTATTCTACTAGAAAAAGAACTGCTTAACATTCACAGAATTGAGGGGGAGGGTAAAATCACCACAAAGTGACACAGGTGGAGGCTGACACAGAGGCTGTGCTAATTTCTTTTTGCAATGGAGGGTTACCTCTTCTCCCTCCGCAGCATCTCCATCATCTGCACAAATGAAAAACTTGGACTGGATTATGGTTCTTGAGTTGAAATCTACAGCACTTTCACAAAGACTGCCACAGGGGCTGGGAGAGAAGCTAAGACTCCAGGTACTCAAAGGTCCCCTTCCTTTGCTTTGTTTCATTCACGTGGTTAACAAACAAGGGCAAATGGGTTATTTCTACAGTTACTTGCAATTCAGTAATTGGTTTGCTCATTAATGCATGTAACAAATATTCACTGAATGCCTTCCATGAGTAGGTAATGTTCTAGGCTCTAGGAATACATTCAAGTTAGCTATAATCTCTGCTCTCTTAGAACTTTCCCATTGGTGAAGAAAATAGAAATAAACAGATACACAAATATGGTAACTTCAACTATTAGTAAGTACAACAAAGAAAATAAATGAGAATACTGTGGACCTGAGGTGGGGAGAAACTGCCCTGATAAGGTGACAATTGCATGAGACCTGAATGTTGAGAAAGGACTTCCTTGGGAAGACCTGGGAACAAATGCTAGCAGCAAGGTCCTTAAAATAAGGAAAAACATGGCTTTGGAGGAAAGAAGGCCACTGTGGTTGGCAATCAGTGCAAGGCTGAGAAGATAAGAGTGGAGAACCCAATCTTACTAGGCCTTGCGGCCTGTGAGTGAAAGGAGTAGCCATGTAGTAGTCAGGACCAGTAATATGTAGTGACTGAATTTCACTAACCCTGGAAAGCTGTGTAAGGGAATCGCAGGGGAAAACCATATTTTGGCAAGTATTTTCCCCCCAGCAATTTGTGATTACTGCATTTCTCCCCATTAAATTAAAATATTTTATCCAAGAGAGACTTGCACCTATTTATACATAGCAAAATCCAGGATGAATAATAAAATATATAGCTTTCAGCACTGCTTAATTAAAGGTGAGTTTACATCAAATCATTTTCTTTCAAGGCTTCCTGGGCCTCAGGAGACTCCCACCTAGAATATCCAGGCTTTCCCCGGATTGGAGAGGTGTGATCAACGAGCCAAAAGTGCCAGAAACATGTGCTGCCTGATCCTGTGAGACCAGGCCATTGATCTCCATCTGCTTTGGGTAAATGAGCCAAAGAAAATGAGTTTTGAAATGAAGCTAACAAACCATGCTCACCAGGACTGCATGATTATGTGGCCCAACAAGGAAGGCTGGCAGAGGAAGGGGGAAGGTGGGAGGGTGCTCCTCACTAGCAAAGCCAGATGGTAGCACAGAAACAGCTTTAAGCTGAAGCACTTACCAAGTGCCATATGTGATGTCTAACCCTTGTTAGATTGAGTCTAAAGTTATGCTCATTTTACGACTATGGAACCTGAGCTCCAGAGAGGGAACATACAACAGTATGTCCAAGGACACAGAGCTGCTAAGTGGTGTACTAGTCTAAAGTGCCTCTGAAGGGATGTTCCAATCCTCTGACCTTTCCAGACAGTGGCAGATGCATGTAACTACCGAACTTCTCCGGTGCTTGGTATTGTGGTTCATAAATATCTTCTATACAGGCAGAAGCAAAGAACACTCAATCACTCTCTAGAAATGGTCATTCTTCTCTGGGGTACCTTCCTTCTAGCCATCTCACACATCAGACTGAGGTTCAAAGGCATGAGCAATGTCCTGAAATAAAAGATCTCTTTGACTTACTTTATTTCTTCTTTAACTTTTTAAAAATTTTCTATAGGGCATGTGTGCTCAACAGGAAGAGACAAAGAGAGAAAGGAAGTGAGAAAGCATCCCCAGGAGGATGGCCACACCACAATCCCTACAACTCCATTCTCATCTAGGGACTTTGGATGCACACAGACGCGTGCATACACACACACACACACACACACACACACACGCACAGCCAGTGTGCAATCAGTAGGCTGCAATCAGCAGCAATCCAGATACCTTCACTGCCTGCCACTCACTAGTCCAGTTTCTATTTAATTTTTTTAATTTCTGAGAGAGGAAAGAGGAAGGGGGGGAAAGAGAGAGAGAGAGAGTGAGGGCAAGCACAAGCATGACCTTGTCAAGGTCTCCTCAAGTTGCAATCTCTGCCCCCCACCCCTACCCCATCTTCCAGCCAGCAGGATCAAAGGCACGTGTGCATGGTGTTCCAGGTCAACCCAGGGTCTAAACTCCAGTCTTCCATGAGGCTCTGGCATTGGAGAGTAGCACCCTACCAGCTGTGCCACATGACTGGGTCTATCTCAGTTTTACGTGTTTTGAAAGGTTGACCAAGAACCTCCAACTCTTTTTTTAAAGGATTATGCCACAGGGTGCATGCATTCATCAGAGAGAGTCAGTAAGAAGGAAAGTGAGAAATCAAACCCCCTCCCCCAAGGGGAAGATGGCCACACTGCAGTCTCTTTTCCTCCATTCTCCTCCTGAGATTTTGGGCCCATGCACACATGTACCCAGCATGATTTTCTTTTCTTTTTTATTAATTTATTTTACATACTTTGAACATTACCACAGCATACAAAATATGATTTTCCAGGCAGAATACACTGTAAAGTAGCTTAATCATACATGTTATCAACAAATAATATTCCATTTTTTATTTCTTGTGTGTATATATGTATTTTTCTCTTCCCCCACCCCCCATTTCTCACTCTCTGCCATTTCCCATCCTCCTCCCACCCTCTCTCTGGTATCTGCAGTTGCTTTCCATTCCTTCATTCTTTCCCACATTGTACTGATTCACAAAATATCTTTATTAATGTAAATACTTTCAATAGTAAGTTCAGCTGATATATACAACTTTAATTCACAGA